TTTTCATCAGTGCCCCACCTATTTCTTAATATTTACAATAGAACAGACAAAAACAGGAAGACCTTTTCAGGACCTTTAACATAGTCAGTGGTGTTCATTCAACAGTGTGGATAAACAGTGAGAATGGGCTGCAAAGCTCCCCCTGTTGTTCTATCAATATCACATTGATTTCTGTCTCTTGCTGTCTTGAACAATTACCATCATTTGTCATTTTGTATCAGGACAAAACCTAATTTAAAACCCACCAGAGACAAACACACCACAGTGCCCACACAGTTTGAGATTAATAGACAAAAGTGAAAGTAAAATCGAAGATGTCTGGGATTATTTTGCCCCTCTATGACTCAAATGTTAAACCTCTAGTACAGTATCATAGTTGTGTCTGATCAGTTAGATAACCATCATGATATAAGCACTTTTCACAAAGCACCACTTTGTGTTATTTGGCCAATACACTTCTGAAGTATGTAAAACATATTTCTGTCTTGTTTAAGTATAAATAAGCCAAGTTATGTAAAGTCACTATTTTTGGAGGGCCTACAAACCTGCACATTGTTTTCAGGGCGTTCTGTCATACTGTACTTCACAAAGTATTTCCGTGCTGATATCTCTTTGAAGTTCAAGAACCAAAGGGCCCCAGATGATTTTTGTAGAGAAAGACCTTTTAAAGGGAGTCTGTTTGAAGACGGTGTCTGCTATGGGAATGTTGAGTGTAAGCAGCCGCAGCAAGTCATACTTCTCTGTCTCCATCAGATTCTTCACACAGATGATTAGGTGTGCAAAGACCAGAACTGATGTGGAGCCAGAGTGATTAAATCACAAAGTGACCCAAATGAAATAATTGATTGGCCTCACGATCATGATATGTGTGAAATGTGCGCACTTAAGACTCTGACACTGATTTATTAGGATTCTTCTCAAGTTTGCTTGTGAATCACTTGTGAGAGAATATTTTTAATCCAATCTGTGTGTTTAGAGATTATTAGGATTCTTCTCAAATTTGCTTGTGAATCACTGATACTTTGTTTTGACAACTTCTTAATACGGGGCTGACATTCACACAGGCGGGGGTATTAAAGTTCATAGATCTGATTAGATCAGGTGAGCAAGTGTTGAGAAGAAAATCTACTTAGCAGAGGATTAGAGATGGATAAAAAACAACAAATATATGACTGGACTTGGAATTGTCTACACAGCTATGCTAGCAGCTCTAGGGAGGGGCCTGTTGGGTTGTGCTTTGAGATGTATGCTAATTTCTGTATGCTAACATGCTCGTAATGATAATGCTAAAATGCTTTTTTCACCATCTTAGTTTAGTGTTCTCCCACTATATTTCTCTTAGTACTAAATAAAAAGTTCAGCTAACTGGATTGTCATTAGCCTGATGGGTCAAAAAACAAAGTGTTGATCCAATTAAAATGTTGCCCTAAAGCAGTGGTTCTCAAACTTTTTCGGTCAGGCCCCCCCTTTGGAGAAAAAAAAAAGTCGGGCCCCCCCAACACAAATAGTCAGGCTCAGTGGCGGCACCAGAGATTTCTTTTGGGGGTGCTGTGGGGTAGCTTGACCTTTCATAGAGCGTGCTCAAACATTTAGGGTTTCCCATTAATGTACCGGTCGCTACAGTGGAATTTTCTACTGCAACACTCCCCACGCAAATACACAATGTACCCGCGACTGTTACAATGAAGGCTCGATATCAAGTCTCGGCATATAGGTGTAAGCAGGGGTAAAGTGCTATTTTTATAGGTGGTGTGTGGACCTCACATAGGGGGGTCCGGGGGCATGCTCCGCCGGGAAGATTTTTAAATATTGAAGTTGAAAGCATCAATTTGGTGCACTTTGAGAGCAAAATGAAGAGATCTATGGATACATCTCTCAACACCCAGATGAAACAGAACTGTAAACAGATTTACTATTTCTTTATGGATATTTTATAAATCACTCTTTTAAACTTTATTCTTGTTTTACTGTCATATAGTATTTCATAGCTGTTTTTCATGTATTCTCTTATTTTTTTATAACTATAATGATCATATAAACGTGTGCCTCGGAAATAATTGTTTACATTAATGGTGACCAAAACGTTTGAGACCCACTGAGATAACACTGAGAGTCCTTTAGCTCACTGAGACTCTCAGTCTGACAGGAGAGGACTCTCCTCCACTTTGTTGTTAAAAAAACTCCTTATATCCGTTAGCATAGCTCGCTAGCACCAGAAGCTAACATCAACGATCTCCGGTACCGGTGCGCTATCTCTCTCTCTCGCTCACGCACGCACACAAAATGGCTCGTTCCGCACACACACACACACACACACACACACACACACACACACACACACACACACACACACACACACACACACACACACACACACACACACACACACACACACACACACACACACACACACACACACACACACACACACACACACACACACACACACAGAGCCGAGCTTTAATGAAACACAGAGACCCAGACGTAATAGTACTGTATCATATTATTTTCGAATCAATAATTTTTCAAAATATGATTTTTTTTTTTTTTTTTTTTTATAATCTTTTTTTTTTTTAAATAACCATTTTTCCTCCTGGTCTCTCGCGCCCCCCCTGTCATACCTCTGCGCCCCCCTGGGGGGGCGCGCCCCCCACTTTGAGAACCACTGCCCTAAAGATGCTAGATGAAAAGTTAAAGGGTCACTAAAATGTTTCCAATCCATTCGTTTCCAAGTAATTTCACTCAAAACAAACCTTATGGTGGCACCCAGGGTAAAGCCAGGGGATCACCGAAGTCATTATCTACTGGACCATAAATGTCCGTACAAACGCTCAAACTGGACGAAAGAAGTTAACCGGCTGACCAACTCAGTCATTTTTGATGAAATTCCTGAACAGGTTCACTCTTCATCAGGCTCCATATGGTGTTAAAATGTTGTTTCACATCTATTGTGCCTCTTTATTTTTACTGTACTTATACATTTGCTAAAATTGGCAGCACCCCTTGTCTAACTTTGACATTATCTTCATGCATAAACATGAGTTGCACAGTCTCAGACAACTTACACAAAAAAATAAATATAAAACTGGCTTCAAGATGCATATTGATGCACATTATAGTCATAATGAGAATCTTTTTGTTATTATTCATTAATTAGATGAATCAAACAACCTGCAGGCCCTTCAAAGTAGTGGAGGAACACTGTTGGGGAGACATCTGCAGCCGTCCCTGTGCCAGCCTGCTCTGCTCTTTGATCCGGCTTCATTATGCAGAGGGAGGCTGACCTATCATGAAAGCTGAGACATGCTGAGCTCCAGCCTCCCAACGAGTAAACACAGAGATGTACCCAGACAGCTGGTGGAGGGATACAATAGTTAATTAGGGACTCTTCTTTGGGGAAAAATGCTACCACATCTTTTCCTGGTTTACAAACATTTCACTGGCCGATCTTATTCCAAATTAAGCAGCTGTTTGTCTCCTCCCTAATGATAGTTTTCCCTGGAAGCTGTGTACTTTTTATCGGAGCTTCTCAGTTCCCTCCTCACTAATCCCTTCCTCTCATTAACCTCCTGCCTTATTTTATGTTGTTTTTTTACTTGTGAAAATTCAGGCTTGAGGTTTGAATTTCAAATATCTTTACAGTGTTTTTGATAAGGTACATATTGAATCAGGTTGATATTTTCTTATACGTTTTTAAATCAACAATTTAAATATATATAGTTTGGCATGAGTTGAAAGTTTGCTTTGAAGTGAAAAGCACATTCTGGGTATGGCTTTAAAGCCATTTTATAATGTATGGGTATCATTACAGAAGTCGGTTTAAAACAATATTACACTTTGGGCTGACACATATTCTGGGGTAACTCAAGATGAAATTGTAACATTAGAGAGCAGAGGCATTTCTTGCACACTATCTTTTTCGCAAGGCTGAAAAAGGTGATATTGTAAGCAAAACAATATACTCGGAAAGTAAGAACCTTGGGCATTATATTTTTGGCTGTGAAAAGGAAGCACAAAAATAAAACTCTGCACCATTACTATCTCATTAAAATCCAGCCTCTCTCCAAAAATGGCTTAAGTGTAGAAATTAAACACCCTGTATTCATGAGATAATTTTTCAGCTGACATAAGGAGTGTTAACCGGTGACCCTGTGCTAAAGCTGCACGTTGACTCTGGGCTTTATCTCAGATAATTCATTTTTCATAGCTGAACCACCTAATCTGAATATCACCTATTGTACTGTATGTCACCTAGAAAAAAAGAGCTCTCTGCAGGAGTCCAGCTCGAGTACAGCAGTGGTCACCTTCAAATGACAAGGCTCATCTGTTCCCAGCTCACCTAGTATTGAATCAGCATTATTGTATGTCTCTCTCTTCTTTCCCTGGTGTCTCTTTGCTCATAACCTCTGCCTTTTATACCGCACTACTCTCTCCTTCCTCCCGTCTCATCCTCAGATCATTGTTATCACGTTCCTGCCCCCCCCCCCCCCCACATCTCATTCTCAGTGTGTCTGCCGTCTTGTGCCGTGCCGCAGGGCCCCTCTGGCTGATGTAATTTATGCTATCTCCTTTTGCTAGTGTGAGAGGAGAGCGTCCTGAAGCCAACACTCTTCATGCAGAGTGCTCCTGTGGGAGGCTGTGAGCCAGCACCGACTGAGCTCCCCCCCCTCTCTTTCACCATCTCCCATGCACACGGCAATGACCATGCATGGGAGGAAGACACTAAATTTGCATAGCTGTTCAGGCTAATTACAGACACCATAAAGCAGCTGTCAGGTGCAAAGACGTATTGCATGTGATGTAAAGACAGGTATCTCTTCTGCAGGTTTTACACGAAAATTTCATTTTAAGTGAAGATTTTTTAATGCAATGCACTGATGGGACATTTTTTGCTCACATCTCATGAGACCATCAGGAAACTATAGCTAGATTTCAGCCGCAGTAAACCCTAACACAGGACTTTTGTTGATGTTGACTGCTGCATTTATGTGTGGTTTCAGCACTGCAATCCATTTCTATGACAACAGAGACGGCTTTGGCTGGGGGATTGAAGAGTGCAATGGAGGGTGACGCCATGAGAACCAATCAGGTGAGAGAGCTGTGGAACTCACAGCAGCTGTACATCATTTCACTCAGGCCCCTCAATCACTCAGGGCCCGCCGCCATGTTTGATATGCAAGACAGCTAGCCTCCTCTGCATGTGCCAGCAACTAAAACATCTTAGAGCAGCAGATCACACTACGTCATGCATTTAGATGATTTAAATCACTTAAAGACAAGTACACAATGCCCCCTGAGACTCAGAATGTAAATGTTTAAATGGAAGACAAAGCACTAGGATATGAACCTCACACACTTAAAAGAAAGGATTTCTCTCCCCTAGGCTGCAGAGGACCAGGGGGACATGGATGATAACTCAGAGAAGACCCCCAGCAAAGCCTCCAGATCCCCCCAGAAGATCAACAAGCGGCCCAAGGCCGTCCCGATTAAAGTCACACTACTGGACGGCTCGGTCTATGAAACTGGGGTTGAGGTATGCTTCTCACTTTCATCAACAATAATTGAGAAAGGGGCTGAATAATCTATGTAATGACTATCATCATGTATAGCCTATTCTTGTGCATTGTTGGATTATTATCAACATTTTGGGTCCCTGTAAATTCATTTTCTGTCACCTGTTATGCGCATTTTCCATTGTAGCATAAGAAAAAAATGCAGCTAATTTGAAAAGCAAACACACTATTGCAAATCAGGCATTGCACTTGGCTTAAGTGGAGGGATTAATAAAATAAAATACAGACTAAATCATTGAAACAGACTTAATGAATATATAATGAAATTGATGAAGCCGGCATCACTCAAAATTCTGCTTTTCTAGGGAGATAAATAGTGGGAGATAAAAACATGTGGAGCAATAAGGAGACTGACATGCCTCAAATAAATACATTAAACAAACTAAAATACTATATTTCCATTACGTTTTCTACATCTGTTTTTGAGTGTCAGAGATTGCCTGGTCTCCCCTACATCTAATATTATATGACCATATAGCTCCTAATGTTTTCATCAAGTGGATGAAAGTATGGGTTGAAACTTGAATACTTCACTGATCCAGGAAAATATATAAAACTTCACTGTCCTGTCTGGCTATCTATTGAAACCCTCACAACCACATATCTGCTAATTATGTTCTTGGAATAAAATATTAAATATAGGGTGAGAGATCTTCCTTAATGGTCTGTAGGCCTGGGAAAAAACCCCATCAGAATTCAATTCTGCAAAATAGGCAGAAACATAATTAGAAATAATGATTTGAACATTGTGTTTTGCAGTGTTATACAAAAGCAGTTTCTCTGGCTGCTCAAAAGCACACAGACTTGGGGAGCAGGAAAACAGCATTCATAGAAGCTGATGTACATATCCCTCTTTTGAACAGAGCCCTTGACTCAGCACAGCACACCTCAGTGGGATCTAGTCTCCCTCGGTAATTTGCGTTACTGAGTCAGAAAAGCAGCAGCTCTGTGGCTCTTCTCAGCGAGAGGGCGGGTGGAGCGAGGTAACACAAGCTCTGCATTGTGGGGGATGGAAGACTCAGATGAGCAATCTCCAGCTTCCTTGAATCGTGACTCTGTAACCCTTTTGTGTTTGTAAACAGACGGGCGTAGCTCTGGGTTTATTTGTCTTTCACAATGGCCCACACAATGATTGAACACTGCAGAAAATTCATATGGAGGGAAAAAAGCGAGGGGTGTCAAAGGGGCTGTTCCATATACAGCAGAGAGATCCTGGCCGGGACTTACAGATCACATTAAAGCCAGCTCTGAAACCTAATTTGCGGCTGCCAATGACCGAGTGTGATGCGTGACGGGAATGATCATCTTGGCTCAAACTCATTCATGTCACTATATTCCTTTTATGGCTTACTGCCTCTCACGTGACCTCCCATATTTTACTTAGGAGAGGAGAAATATGTCACGAGTCCTGACCGGTGCATCACACATTCTCCTTCAACTCAACCCCAACCCATATCTCCCTCTGACACACACACACACACACACACACACACACACACACACACACACACACACACACACACACACACACACACACACACACACACACACACACACACACACACACACACACACACACACACACACACACACACACACATACACATACACATACACATGCACGCACACGCACGTCACCTAGGAAGTGACACTAGAGGTATTGGGCTTAGACCGAAAATCCATACAGTTGACAAATGAGTGCTCTTATGTTTGACCAGGGAGAAAATAGAATGGGAGGAGGTAAAGATGAAGAAAGTGGGGGAGGAGGTGGAAAGAAAGATGGAGACGCCAGGAGGGCTCATTTGTGTACCGTAGTATATGCAAGTATTGGAAAAAAGGCACATAATGATGAATGCAGTGGAATCACTGCTTTAATGACAGTCATAAGCAAACGTGCCCTGATGACAAAAACACAAAGAAGCAACCTGAGCCTCGTATTGATGTTTGGCTCACGACATTACAGATATTGATTAAGCTCAGCGCATTAGTCCAGTCTTTAACCTACAGCCCTAATATTAAAGAAAGAACTAGAGCACCACCTAGTGCTTCCCAACCTTCACGCTTACAATCCCACACAAGCTTACATTTCCCCAAAAACATCTTGAATTAAACTGGCTTAACACCACGATGGGCCCACTTGTACCCACATTTTAACTTCTTGGACTTTGGCTGGACAAGATATTTTCTTTCGATCCAACCCATGAAATGTATTTCTCACGGTAGGCCTACAATCATTTTTGATAGTTAACCACATGTCTGTGGGAGATCCTCTTTATTGGAAAAGCCAGGGCTGTGTGGTGTCTGGAAACCATTCTGTAGCACTGATACTTAACTTAGCCTCTGATGCGGACCTGATACACTTTTTAAGAAGGACCTTATTAAGACAGAGATAGAAATAATAAAAATTAACAGTTTTGTGACTACACTCAGGGCTGCCCCTGGCCAACTTGTGGCCCCACGCAAAGCTATGTGATCTGTGTCGTGAGTGTCAACAGGGGGGGCGATGGTGCTAGTGGAGCATGCGCGCACGCAGCGGCGAAATTGTGGGCCGCTTAATTGCATTTGCGCATCAGATGAGGCCCCCTCCGCAAGATGAGGCCCCACGCAGTCTGCATGATTTGCGTGTAGGGAGGGGCGGCCTGGTAACACTGTTCTAATGTGCTTCTGTTTCACATAGAAAGCATTGCAACAAACCTTTAATATCTCTGACACAAACCAATGGTGTGTTCCAATGCCAATACTACCATGCTACTGTGTTTAGTATGTCAGAAAATGATTTTGTATGTCCCAATACATAGAATATTAAATGTACAAGTACTGTTTCCAGTCCCCTTTATTATTCTATGATTTTTGGCACCTATACTTGGAATTGGATACCGTATTACGCACAGGATAAATGCATTAAACCCACAATCCAGAGTGTTCCACATTCTTACATTCAAAATGCCTCCTGAGAAAACCACCAGCGCCATAAATGCGATGTTCATATGATCATGTGGTTAATGACACTGGGACCAACCTCGACTCTTTAAAGAATGATAACATCAGTTCATCTATAGTAGATTCTGAATATCTTTCTCATTGCCAAAAGCACAGATATAACATGTTTCCCTGCTGCACCACTCTCTGCACTGCTGAAGGTTCAGATGAGTTCAGCCTCTTGCTCAAGGGAACTTCAGAACTTGCACTGAAGCACACCCTGTCTGTTTGGAGGCCAGTATTTCTTATACACTGCTCCACATCCTAAGAACCCACTTGTTTATGCTGTGCTAAAAGCAGAGGCTTTTTTTAAACTCACAGATAAACAAGTTCACTGTTTTTATTGTTTTGGAACTTCAGAACAAAGTTAGTATATTTTCCAAGTGGTTATGAGACAAACTTGGGATTTTCTCATTAAATCTTTTAATACAATTATCTGGAACCAGTAGATATTTGCTTCTTCCAACCTCAAATGTTTATTGCACTCACATGTTTTCCACCACGCTGCGTAGTGTAGTGTGAAGTACAAGACTAATGTTAGTTTCCATTGACTAAGATTTGTTTAAAAAAGGTGTAATGACTGACAAATCAATACAATTAAATACAGTTACATGAAAGGGGCTTTCCACCTATTTTACACATGAGACTCATTTGCTCATTCGTAGGATTTCTACAAAGCCTGCTAAAATGAGTCTTTTGTGATTCTGGAGGGAGGTTTCTGAAAACAATAATACAATAACTTTGGTGATTTCATCAGGGTCATCTCGACTGAAAGCCTGAATTACAAAGTGAGAGGATGTGGAATTGTAAAGACATTATTCAAAAGGCATTTATAAGTTCATTAGGGAGATGGATTGGGGTCTAAGAGTCAGGATATATTGGCCTCTGCTGCTATGATGTTGAAAAATAGCAAATTGCCCAATTTTGTGGAAGTGAATTGCTATAATCCTAAATATAGAAAAACATTAGAATTTATTTTTTGACCCTTCAGATGTTGTTGTTGTAGGGAGCCTCTGGAGCAGAAATTAAAGAGTTTTCAATTTCTTTACGTTTTGGTATGTTTTTAGGGAAATGTTGTAATATTGTAATGTTGGCCTTAGGTGGGAGCAGAATTTCTATATTTCTACTCACATTGTTTGAATAAATATATTGAACAACTAAGGATTACTTTGCAGGATTGATTGCTTACTTAGTCCAATATCAGTATATAGCATGAATAATAATCACACATCAGTCATATTTTTTTAGGAATAGTCATTTATTAAATATTAATACAATGGTAGTCCCAAAAACAGTTCCTGTCGTTGGAAAAGCACAGACGGACATTGCATTTGCTGCATTGCGTGTTTGTGTACTGCAGTGTCTGCAGTGTCCTCTCTTTGTCTTCACTGGAAAATGTGCCATTAGGTCCTCGCGTACATCCAGTGGAGGTTGTGATCTCTTATTGGGCCCTTTCTCATTTCTCTAATTTCCCGGAAATGGATTTCAGTGCGCCATGTTGAAGGACATCTAATTTCTCGAAATACACTTCGAGGACCGAGGATCGAGCATCGAGGAGGCTCTCTGGAGGAGCTATAACCGAGGATACACTGATGGGTCCTCCGCGCCAGTCCGTGGATGTATTTCCGGCAACAGTGCAGTTAAAAGAGTCATGACGCACTTATCTCAGCCAATGACAGCTCTGCATGCATCCCCTGGATATTATTTTATTAACTGCTTTCATCGCGACGCAATGTTTACAGTGGGAACAGCTGTGAGATCCGTGCAGAAAACAGAGCAGTGTGTATAATATATATTTAAGCAATAGCTTACGACAGGCCGTGGTATATGGTCATTGTAATATACTGGGATGTGGAAATACGCATCTTTCAGGTTGACTGATGTAAACCAGTCGTTTTGTCACATGAGACGCAGCAGAGATGTGTGAGTGAGCATTCTGAATTTTTATCTTTTTAGATATTTGTTCAGAACCCTCAAATCT